CAATGATAGCATAGGAATATTGAAACACTAACCTCACCGGGTGTAATGAGACCTTCTCCTCTGCATCAGATATCATGCTATACGCAATCCTAAAACCAGAACAACCAGCAAAAGTTAATGAAAAACTTCGATTAAAAGGGATTCTAAAAGGAAACTATTGTTTGCATACAAGTGGAGCCTAATCCAACACTCGAAGATGATAACATCAAGTTCTAGTAAAATGAGCAAAGAAGAAGAAAGATGCACAGAGAAGAAGGTGGAACTGGCTGCAGGAAATTTCAGAAACTGGGTGTCGCCGAACCGCTCCACGCAGTGAACCGGCCCGACCCTTCATCTTCTTCCTCGAACTGACACCGTATACAGCTGAAACGACAGCTTTCTTCATCATTCCGGCAACATGTACCCCATATATGTTCACAAGTTCTCAACTTATAAATATGTTACTGAAAGTAGAAGTAACCCGACGCTCCAAATTCTTAGTATCAAACTGGGAATGTACAATACTTATTCATCAAGCGTCATAGAATTAAAGAAGATGCAGTAAATTAGAGTGTTGAAAGAGAAAATAAATCGGATTGAAGTAAAAATTTTAAAAAAAAAATTATATCTTTTGTAATTAATTATAATTAATTATTTATTTTATTTTTCGTCCTAAAAAACATGTATATATAGAATTATTATATTTGATGCTAGAGCAAGGCTCCATCATTTCTAGCTTGGCAACAACTCGAGCAACACAACCATCCACGACTCGGTTAAGGTATACCAATGGAGTTTTACCAATCAACTACAACAAAAACAAAGGTGCGACAGCAAATAAGGTTCCATAGGCTATACATTAACACTATTTTATCCGAAAAACACAAACGTATTAATCTTCGTATATAAATGATTACTAAAGTCTGCTTACTTCGGTGACATCTTTGGCAATAAAACCATTCTCCTACGCCATTACTCCCATGACATCTTTGGCGATAAAACCATTCTCCTCCGCTATTACTCCCACGGCATCTTTGGCAACAAAACCATTCTCATTCGCCATTCTTGTTAGATCTCTACGTAAATAATAAAGTTCATGTCAATATGGACGATTTGCAAGTGGTACTTCGAGATTATGATTTCAAAAGAATTAATTTCTTTTATAGAATTCATTTGGAGATGAAAAATTTTTATCAAGATTAACAATCTGACAACTTAAAATAAAAATAAAAATAAAAATATTACATTCTAAATTTCATTAAAATTTATGAAATTTAAATTATTTCTTCATTTTTTATCGTTTGAAAGAATTTCTAATTATCTACTAATAATAAATAAGTGCTCATTTTAAATGATTCCCACAAATAAAATTTATTTTTATTCAAACATGTTTCAGAAAAAAATCAAAAAATACCGACAGCTATTCTATTAGTGAAAAAATTATTAAATAAATCGTTACAAACGAAATAAATTAAATTAAAGGGTAAATGATGTCATTTATAATTAATTATTTATATTATTTTTTTGTCCTACAATATTTATATATATATAGAACTATAATATTTATTAAAATACAGATTGATTTAAAAAATATTCTTCATATTTCAAATAAACATACATTATTATTCAACCCCACCAAATCCACTATATTACTGAAATTTCAAATAGAAAAAAACTGAATAATATAACCTCTACTAGTTAAGAACCCTAATACCAAGAGAACCCTTACTTGGACAAAAGAAGAAGAAGAGAAACACACCTTATAGAGCTTAGAGAAATATAAGAAAATATGATATATCTATATCTATATATATATATATATATATTGTATAAGCCTCTCCCATTGATTATACAAGCTTTGCCAGCAAATGACTAATCCAAGTTACTATTTTATTTTTCTTACAATTGTTCTTGGGAATCATATAGTTCTTGTAATTATTTCTCTTTTCCATGTTTTGCCAACTATTGATAAGTTGTATAAAAATAATATATTACATATCATAATTCAAGATGGTAACTCATAATTTTTTGTGATAATAAAAAATTCATTTTCTAAAAATTATTTTAAAAAAAAATCTTAAAGAAAATTAAAAATTTTGATTGAAATTGGTGAATTAAGTTCAAAATTTGAGATTAGAAACACTTAAATCCACTAATTTGTTTTTATGGGTGTGTAGAAAATTGATTGAATAAATAATATATATACATATATATATATTGATTTGACCAAATTCAATTTTTCCTTGTAGGTTAAACATGTTATAATAATTGAATTTATATTTGTATATAAATTATTATTTTAAAAAATATTTTACATTTCTTTATAAAATTTTACATTCTAAACACATATGAAAATTATCAAATAACTTAATATTAATAAATATATAAAAATAATAATAATAAAATTTTAAAATATAAATTAAGAAAATAAAAAATTAAATTACAATTTTTTTGTCACGATATAATTAAGTTTCAAATATTTCTTTATCTCATTATTTTACTTCTTAACTTTTTATAAAATTTAAAATTTTTTATTATAAGAACATATTTTATTTTTATATTAATTTTTTTACTCATGTAAGTTTTAGTTTATCTAAAATCTAATTAAATTATAATAATTACAAATTAAGTTTCATAAATACATAATTATGATCTCTCTTTTGCTAAGTACATAATACTTGAAATAATACTTTTTTTTTTTGTACTTTTTTTTTTTTAAAGTTACTTTAATTGGATTGTCTAATCTTAATTGGAATATGTTTTAATTATAAAGGGTTTGCTTATATGTATATGGTTGATTTTTTTAATTTTAATTATATAAAATATAAATTTATAATATATATATATTGAGTATAAATTTGAATAAAAATATTTTATAATAAATTGTGTATTTTTGTAATTTATTTATTAGTAGAGCAACCATAAAATTATATATGTGTGATTAAAAAAAGAAATAATTTGGTTTTCTTTTGTATTAACTATTAAATATTATCATAAATGTAATAAATATTTAGAAAAACATAATATAAATTAAATATTTTTACTTATAATATACAATTATAAATTAAATAAATATGATATCTTATGATGGACACGTGTCTAACCCAGATTAGCCCACGTGGCATAGCAGGCTTAGTCTACTCGGGCCCAGTAGACTCGGCCCAAGCCTTCAATAATTTGGGCTGAAGTGAATGCTGTAATGGGCCCACTTCTTATATATCCGGTCTGGGCCGGTTGGCTCATATATAGATATATGTTATTACATATTACATATAAATTATTTTAAAAATATTTATAATTTCGGTTTAATTGAATATATTAATTATTTTAAATTAAATATGAAAGACTTTGTCTATATTTTAAATTTATTAAATTAATTTTGGATGAATGGCATATACTAACAGGTCTAAATAAATGTAAGCAGATATGCCAAATTAAAATTTGGAACAAAAATTTAGTACATTTTATGTAAAATAATGTAAATTATATTTATTTAAAAATTAAAAATATATATAATAATATATACCAATTATATTTGTCAATAATATTATATATCCTTAAACCTTAAAAACCCTAAAAACTTCAAACTATAAACTCTTAAAACCCTAAATCATAAATTTTAAACCTTAAACCCTAAATTCTAAACTCTAAACCTCAATTGATTTCAGCTACAACTTCAAAAAAATTCCAATCTCTAAAAGCCCTAAATCATAAATTATAAACCTTAAAACCCTAAATCCAATACCTTAAATTTAAAATTTTAAAACCCTAAATTCTAAACTCTAAATCTCAATTGATTTCGACAACAATTTCGAAAAAATTTCGATCTTTAAAAATCTTAAATCATAAATTCTAAAACTTATAACCTTAAATTCGATACCTTAAACTCAAAACTTTAAAAGCTTAAATTCTAAACTCTAAACCTCAATTGATTTCAACAACTTCCAAAAAATCCCGATTGATTTCGGTTCAGCTAAAGGCAGAAACTATTCGAGCTTGCTTACAAGGTATATTCCACAAGATCTATTGTTGAAAAACAACAATCCATTTCAGCTATTAAGTGCAACAAAGAGGGAAATCCCAGTTGGTATCTGGCAAAGAGAACCTGTGAAAGAAACTCATTTTCAGTACATTGAGGAATTAGACAACAATGGGTCTTAAAGGTCTTGAGTTGTCCTCTCGTGTTTTATTCAAACGAATAATAGTACTTTGTTCCACTTTGTTCCAGTGTATTTAAAACAGATCTTTATTATACGTGCAACTTATTCAGCAGATCGCTTTGGAACTCTCTCTCGTCTCATGACATGTGGTAGCGGAAGGGCGTCTCAAGGCTCGAAAAGCATGTTCTCAGCTTCCTTCTTCACAGATTCAAACAGCACAGTCGATAGATATCTCTCTCCAAAGCTGGGGAAAACCGCCTGCTCTCAGGTTAAGATTATAAAAGATTGGTTAGACCGTAAATGTCATGGAAAAGACTAAGTTTCCTAAGTGTGTAGTCATCAAGATATTCCTCAACAATTGATACTAAGACTTACAACAATGAGTTTTCCAGCATTTTCAGGCCTTTTTGCTAGCTGAATTGCAGCTGCAGCCGCCGCACCAGATGATATCCCGACCTACATACATTCTTATGCATCAATCCTTCCGATGGTAGAAGCAATCAAACTCGAGGAAGAAACTCAAACTGAAATTTTTATTTAACAAGAACCATTGGAAGATGTAAAGCTGTAAAGCTTACCAGCAATCCTTCTTTTAGTGCAAGCTGCTTAGCGGTTTCAATAGCTTCTTCACTTGAAACCTGCAGAAGAAATCATTGTGATTAGGTACCAGCCGTGAAAATTGTGATCTTAGGTATTCGAACAACGGAGAACTGTGGTAATCATTTGAAAACTGTAAAAACTCACAAGACTCCGTAAGGCAAAGATAAGTGCTAAATTGCATTACCACTCTGTTTCTTCAGTTAAATTTGTAAAGGCAGCATCTATAGGTGCAACAAATAGCTTCTAGAAACTTACTTGAACAGTTTCATCTAGTAAATTGACGTCCAAAACTCCAGGGATGAAACCAGCACCAATTCCTTGAATCTTATGTGGACCTTAAATGTACACAGGCGCGTACAAGCCATCAGGTAAGACAAATATAACATAGAAAAGCTTTTTTATTTTT